CGGGAGTCGATACCGGAGAACAGCCCAGTTTGCACACAATCCACGCCAGGTATTTAAGAGGATAAATGGGTTTCTGGCACCGCACTAAATCCTGGGGCTGAATTACTCCATCCACCCATAGCAGGGTGGCAGCACCAACCGGGCGGCTCTTTCATCAGAGTCACCCTGTGCAGTGACAAAGACGCCCCACGGACAAGCAGCCCTTGAAATCATTGGGAACAACACACTGACCACCTGAGTGGCGGCAGGGGCGAAGCGATGGGCTCCAGTGCGAGCTTCCTCTGGGGCGCAGGTGGAGAAGACACTTGTTACTGGTTTGAGAGCAAGGTGGGCACCCTGCCTGGCTGTGCCGCCAGCCCCACGGCACAGTCAGCGCTCTGTGCCGGTTCCTGCCTCGCCTGCCAGCCCCCGAGGACGGCTGTGTTGTCCCCGCTCCCTGGCAGACAGCAGCGGTGTCCTGCTCTGCAGGGAGGAGTGGCCAGTGGCAGAACCCCCCCGAGCACCCCAGGGCTGTGCTGCCTTCGCGGGGACCACATGGCATCACCCCCGGGCAGTGCGGGCTCTGTCCCCCTCCGGCACGGGGTGCTCGGAGCCCCTCTCCGGGGCACGCTGCCGCTCTCCTGCGCTGACCCTGCACGGCTGCTGGCACTGGCCCTGGTTGGCAGAGCGTCGGGGCCTCCGAGGCTCCAGCTGTTTATTTTCGCTTTGTAACTCAAGATGTCCCTCAGCCTTTCCGCAGGCTTCCCAGGGAAAGCTGCTCTTCAGCAAATAAATAATTTCCAGGGTGGGGATGAGGAAGGAGAACAGCCGCCGGCTGACTGCGGGGCACGGCCCAGGGCTGATGCCACCGTGCAGGGAGCGCTGGCCCCGCGCCCTGGAAAGCATTTAGCAGGACCAGATGTTTCCCTCCCCAACTCCTTGGCACAGCAGGCACTGGCCGAGCACGGATGGTGTCTCCAGGAGCTGGCAGGACTGATTTCATCCTGCTGCTTGGACAGCAGGTCCGGGAGAAGGGAGGATCTGCAGAGAGGGCAGATGTGAGCGGTGCAAGGTCTGGGAAGGAAAGCTCGGGCTCCACCGCCCTTGGCAGGTGTTTGCCACGATGGGCACAAGCCCCAGCTCTTCCAAGGCCCGTGGCACCGCTCCCGCCACCTCCCTCCTCTGGGACGGCTCCTTCGCAGCCCCGCTGAGCGCTGACACCGAGGGCTGACGGCCTTCTGCACGCAGCAAGGTGCACGGGGAGCAGCATGCAGCGTGGCACGCAGGGTGCCACACAGGACAGGGAGCTGTGGGTGGGCAGGGTGCTCGGGAGGGACCACCCTGGGCACGTCCAGGTGCCATCGGCCACGCTGTGGCCCCGCTCCGCATGCCAGGGGATGGGCA